GTTGCGTGATAGGTTCTTGGTTGGTTCGTTCCCAGAGTTCCTTGTTGCTTATTTTTTCTGGCCATCTGATCTTCAGCAGCGAGCGTAAGCAGTTGTTGATGAATGTCTGTAGTTTATTGGAAATACCTTTCGTGACGCGCCAAGTCTCTGAGCCATACAAGAGCACTGACTTGACGTTGGTGTTGAAAATCCGTATCTTGTTCCGCATGCTGAGTGCAGAAGATCTCCACACTGGTTTCAGGCTAATGAACGCCTGTCTTGCTTTTCCGATTCTGACTTTGACGTCCTCGTCCGTCCCACCACTTGTAGTTGAAACAGTGCTTCCTAGATAAGTGAAGGAGGTTACTTCCTTCAAGTTTCTCCCGTTGACGGTGATTGGAGTTTGTTGTTGTTGATGGTGGTGGTGCGGTATCTTCATCACTTCTGTCTTCTCTATATTCACCTGAAGTCCCGTCTTCGCTGCCTCTTCTATCAACTTGTTAGTTTTTGCCTGCAGATCTTCAAGTTTATGTGACATTAGGCATAAGTCATCGGCGAAATCCAAGTCTTCTAGGTTCTTTTCCGTCGTCCAGTGTATCCCCCTCTTCTCGCTGCCCACTGTTTGCTGCATGATCCAGTCCACCACAATCAAGAATATCATGGGGGATAGTAGGCAACCTTGTTTCACTCCTGTCTTCACTTCAAAGGCATCACTGAGCTTCCCATTGTGGATTACTTGGCATGTAGCATCTTCATATAGTTGTTGAATGAGGCGGATAAAGGTTTGCGGTACTCCGTAGTATTGAAGCAGTTTCCAAATTACTTCTCGGTCGACGCTGTCAAAGGCCTTCTCAAAGTCGATGAAGTTGAGGTGGAGAGGTGATTGCCATTCTACGCTCTGTTCTATGATGATACGAAGCGTTGCAATTTGGTCAGCACATGATTTGTACTTCCTGAAGCCTGCCTGTTCCGGTCGTAGTTTTGAATCCAGTGCGTCTTTAAGCCTCTCCAGGATGATGCGGCTTAATATTTTACTTGGGGTGGACAGGAGAGTGATTCCGCGCCAGTTCTTGCAAGCACTGAGGTCTCCCTTCTTCGGCAGTTTGACAAGGTAACCCTTCTTCCAATCGTCAGGTACCTTCTCTTCCTTCCACACCTTCTGCAATAGTGGTGTGAGCATGGCCGCTGTTGTCTCTGCATCTGTTTTCAGTGCTTCTGGCGGTATTCCATCTGGTCCTGCTGCTTTCCCGCATTTCAGTAGCTTTATGGCGTTCAGGACTTCCATTTTCGTTGGGGGATTTATGTTCACTTGTAGTTCAGCGGCTGCAGGTGGTATTTCTGGACGAAGTGCAGGTGGTGGTCGATTCAAGAGCTTCTTGAAGTGGTCGGCCCATCGTTTCCTCTGTTTCTCTTCTTTCGTAATTAAATTTCCTTCTTCATCTTTTATTGGTTTCATCTGTGTTGGTCTCTTCCCTGATAGCAACCTGGTTATTTGATACAATGTCGTCAGGTCTCTCTTACCTGCAGCCTGTTCTGCTTCACTTGCCAGTGTGTCGTAGAAGTGTCTTTTGTCTTTCCGTGCACTCTTCTTCACTTCTTTGTCCAGTGTTTTATACATTGTGCTCAGTTCCTCTTGTCGTTGAGCATCCTTGCACTGGTTTATCTCCTGCTTCACCATCCTCCTCTCCTCTATCAGCTTCCAGGTATCCGTCGAGATCCATTCCTTGTCTTTCACCTTCTTCCTTCCTAATACTGTTGTGCAGGTTTCTTTCCACATAGCTTTCAAAGACTTCCAGTGTTCTTCCACACAGGTTTCTTCAGGGATGTCCCTCGACGTCTCCCATTTTGTCTTGATGGCTGCTTTGAAGATCTCCTTTGTAGTTTCATCCTTCAGTTTCCGAGTGTTGTACTTGAATTGAGGTCTATCACCAGCTTCCTTGAAGGCTTTTAACTTGATTTGGAAGGTTCCTTGCACTAGATAGTGGTCTGAGCCTACATCTGCTCCTCTTCTTGACCTTGTGTTAAGTAGACTGCGTCTCCATTTTCTTGAGATTGAGATAAAGTCGATTTGATTTTTAGTGTGTCCATCTGGTGAAGTCCATGTCGCTTTGTGGATATCCTTGTGCCTGAACACACTGCCTCCAATCACCAAATCGTTGAGTGCACAGAATTCTGCAAACAATTCTCCATTCTCATTCATTTCACCTAGCGCCTCTCGACCCATGGTTAGTTCTCTTCCCGTGTTGTCCCCTCCCAGTTTGGCATTCATGTCGCCCATTAGAATTTTGATATCACCAACTGATGTCTTGTCCAGTGTTGATTGAAGTTGTCTGTAGAATTCCTCCTTTTTCTCTTGCTCTGCATTATTTGTAGGTGCATAGCATTGTATGATTGTGACCTTTCTTCCTTTTGAGTTGAATCTTGCTGTCATGATCCTGGAGGAGATTGGTTCCCACTGCATGAGAGCCTTCGATGCTCTTGAGGACATCATGATAGCCACTCCCTCAGTGTGCTCGTGGTTGTCGTCTGGGTGACCGGAGTAGATTATTGATTCTCCAGTTGACAGTTTGGAGAGTCCACTCCCATTCCATCTGCTTTCGCAAATCCCAAGCACTTCGATGTTATACCTTCTCATCTCCTTTGCAATCTGGGCTGCCTTACTGGGTTCAAACATGGTGCGGACATTCCATGTCCCCACGTTTACTTTCGCTTTCATCGAGAGAAGACACATCGGCCAATTGGCTTCCCGAAGGCTTTCACCAACTGGCGTCATTTCGCCTCTCCGATTCCAGCGGGGAATAAGTTTGTTTTCATTTTTTATATTTTGTTTGTGCTTAGAAGTTTCTTTAGCGGTTAGATTTCTTTTACGGGGTAGGGTTCCTAGCCCTATGTCCAACCTTCCCTCTTTACCCGGGCTTAGGACCGGCTAGTAACTAGTAAACTAGTTAACCAGGCGAGGTTATATATATATATATATATATATATATATATATATATATATATATATATATATATATATATATATATGCATACGTATAGTGCCCCCTTGTGTTGTAAGTGTGAGCTTGCTTCTCTAGTTGTTTTCAGTTTTGTTCATGACTCGATGATGTACTACTGAAATGCTAGTAGGTGTACTGAGTGGGATGCATAGTCATGTTCCTTCGGGCTCGATGTGAAATGTGAAGTAGCACTGACGAAATGCCATTCATTTTGTGAACGAATTATCTAATTGTTGTTTTCTGTTTCACGTCAAACTGTGATGACGCATCTCAAGCAGTATACGCACCTAGAGATTTTCCCTTAAATGAAAGTCTTGAGGAATGTAGTTAGTTTGTAAGCCTGATGATGCTGCGCTCAATAAATTATTCAGAGTAATGTGTACACGATGTATCGTAAGATCGTCTGTGTGGTCGATCATTGCACTGCCCACATTGGTTCAAACAGGATTATGGATGCTTTTCGTCTATCAGGAAAGAGCTGAGTGTTAGACTAGATTTTGCATAAGTTGTTGTATGTTGCATCTATATTGTGTCCATCTGTAACAACATGTTGAATGACTTTCATTGAAGAGTTTTTGAGGTGATTAAAGGCGGATAAGCATTTTTACTTATTCAGTCTACTGAGTGTAGTGTTTGGTGTTTGGAAATAAATTGGTCCAGTTTTGCAATACGGTGGCCATAAGGGTCATACGGTTGTTGAATAGTTTCCGTGTATTAGATTTTTGCAAACAAGTGTGCAATGTTGTATTGAGTTACTTTTTGATTATTATAGAGCCATTCGGAATAAAATGCAGCTTGTGTATCCGATTCAGAAATGGAAGCACTTAACATATTATCTTTTTACTTATACTCGAAACAAGCTGAGACCTAAGTCGTCCAAATCCCACTCCACTTACTTCGGCCTGGACAGGAGGTTAATACCAACAATCTTCACTAATTAAATGTGTTGTAAACCTTAGTCCACATAGGGAGGAGATGAGGTAACATAAGAAATGAGTGATACTCCAAAGAAATTTGAGTATTCAAGGACTGATATTGAAGGAGGCGAGAAGATAGAGACGAAGGAGGGAATGTTTATTATTGGGGTTTTGTGCAGTAGTCATCAATTATGGTACACCTTGGACTAAGACAGTCATTCGCATAATGTGCTTCATTTCCTCTTCGGCTTCTATCTTGATTTGCTCTTAATATGCCCGCGTTGTCTCTTGGGTTTCTCTGGGCAGAATTCGTACTCTATGCTGGTAATTCCGAATGATTTCTGCCGCCTTCTCAACTAATACTGCTTATGTCCTGAAATGGTGGAGAGTATTTATATCTCAGGTGGATGGTCTTGGTTGTATTGTGTTCTTTGAGCTGGATTGTTTAATCGTTGTTGAGTCTGAGGATTAAACAACCCAGCTCAGATAACACAATACAACCATGACTACTTATGTCCATTCTGATCAGTAACGCCCACTGCAATATTATGTCACTTGTCTATTTGTGAATTTATTTTATGGAGAATATACATTCGTTTTATGTCAAGTTTCTTTGACGTCAGTTAGTAGACTGGTTCATAGTTTGGAATATTTTGTCTTCCGTCTATCTATGGGTTTGTTGGTGAATTCCACGGTGTTTCGTTACTGCCTTTATCGATTTACTACAAGTTTCTGTTGTGTATAGTTTAGTTCGGACTTGTTAAGGGTTTTAATTTCCTTTGATTCCTTCTTGGTTTATGTATTAATTATTTTCTTCTGATCTTGAATTGCAATCATAATCTGACACTTTGTTATTTCAGTTTGCGTGTAGGTGGCACTTTGGAGAATCCAGCTCATTTATGTTTTCAGTCGACGGCAAACACAAGTCTGTCCCTCAGCAGATATGTGTTTTTGAGATTACTCATCATGAAATCCATGTATACAGTTTTAGTAGGTGCGGTGTGGTTAATTTTCCTGTTGTATAGCAACGTTTCTTCATGTGTCTCTTATCTTGCTTTTATTTGTACTGCTCACTTTTTCTATTTTTTAACTTTTTCTCATGTAGGTGTTTTGCAAGAATCAATGGGACTTACTACGTGGTGTCTGTGATATTTTTGAGTAAGTAATAGTTACTTCATGCATGTTGGTTCGTGCTCATTATGTATTCGGCATTAAAAATTATAACAGATTAACGCAATTGAAGTCACAGGACGAGAAAATACTGGGATGTTTCACATTACACGAAAACAGCAACTTGATCAGTTCATCTTGTTCTCTTTAAAGTCTTATTCTTTGGCTTTTTGTACTATATTTTTCACTAGGTAGAAAATATTAAACTTGATACTGTCATTGTAAATGATGGTTTAGCTAATTTGCCAAGCAAGATTAAGGTTACTATTCCAAGCTGAGGTAGGTACCTACATCATTTTTATGGTGTAATCTAATTGATTATGCGATTCACCATGAACCATAAGTATTACGAGGCACAACCTTTCTACAGAAAGTATATTTTTGAGAAATCGTCTCATTCCTATCATGCGTAAAGTCGAAGGTCAATTTACTAGGAATTCAAGTATCTTATTTAGATTCTTAGTGGATATTTACACGCTCACCATCAGAAATGCTGTTGATACGATGAGTTTTAATCGGCATTCTGATTAACAAATATGTTGTTCTGTTCTCAGATTTTCGGTTCAAATTGCCGTTATTAGTAAACATTGGAGTGGCATGGTCCAAAAATGCTTATTTTGCTAGCATGCCAGTTGCGCCACTAGTGTTTTATTTACTCAAGATGAAAATATCTATTTTTATTACCTCCCATATATAATTTTGAATCTGTTACTGCTTGGATGTTAAAACTGCAAACATTTTTCTCTTTCCTTAATAAAGGCCAAAGTTATCAGTTTTCTCAAGATTCGGTAAGTTGCTTTACAGCTATATTGCATACATGATTTTTGTGTAATTAACTACATCACTTAAGCATGTGTTTTAATACTTATGTTTGTTGTATAGGTTTCACATTAAGTTCAAACCCGCTGTTGTAACATTCGAATGAATCGTTTAATATATGCATTTTAGCTTTACAGAAGTTTTTTGAATATATTGAATGTCAAACATCATTTCACAGTTGGTTTTCATACTCTTCTGATGGAGGTAAATCTCCTAAGTTCACTGCTGTCTCATTCCACTTGCCGGCAAGTTACTGAGCGACATTCCATTACTTTGATAGCCAGATTTTGACCTACGGTGTACGCAGTTTTCGAAACATTTGCTCTTTAGAGTACTACCATAGCGAAATCCTAAGTTAGATATTGGTGATAAAAACTATTTACCCCACTGTGTAATCAACCTCGCTATGCTGATGGGTGAAGGACAAAGTCGTACTACTGGTTAGACGGTTGTGATAACACCTAGGTGTTGCCCACGGATAACCACCAGTTCCATGCTGATGCTGCCTTCCCAGTGGGAAGCGGGGGGGGGGGGTAGTAAACGTAAGTCCACACAGAGACACACTCCTTTCTGACCTGTTATCTCCCAGTCCACGTGGTGTGGGTTTATTGCTGGACTTAAGGCAATCAAAGTTAAATCTCACTCCCAAAAAGCGGTGTGTGGTCAGCCTCGAGCAGCTATCCCTTGTGCTGTGTGATTACGTACCTCTGGTACTAATTGAACTTCCCTTTCAGCTACCTGAAGAAGTAACCTCCCATGATATGGGCAGTTGGAAATGTCAACCGCTCTAAACACTCAAGTTCCCTCGAGTTATCATCAACCTTTGCCTTTTAACCTTGACTCACTTCTCTAGGTAACGATTTGAGTTCACGGAACGGCATCCCTAGTCTCTTGGAATCGCGCTCCAAGTTACATTTTGGAATTTTAAGTATCCGGACTCTCCGTCTATGTGGGGAAGAAGCTTTGCTAGGCAAAACTGTGGCATCTCGGATCATGAACCTGCGCCTTGTTTGTAAAACATGCATACAGTTGTTCACTTGACCTCACTCGACCAATATAGCGAATCTGCGAAATTCGCCCCTCAAGTTTCTGAAGATTCGATGACTGTTGCGTTATTTTGGATATGGGTTTAGTAATAAGGGCTAAAACAGAAAGTGCATCGCTCAGCTGGATCCCAGTTGACGGTCGCCTGCCCGCTGTCTGGCCTATGCACTGAGGACTGAAGCGAATAGTGAGACTCGCTGTTGTCTCTTTGTAATTGGTGCTTACGTACCCACTGGCTACGGTTGGAAGTAAATGATAAATTCTATGGGAAGCTGTCTGGCCTCCTACTGATAGCCAAACGTTCAGATGTGGTTGTCATAGGCGGTGACTTCAAAGCAAAGGTGAGTAGGCTAAGTAGAACAGAAAGGCACGTAGTTGACTCTTGCGGAACGAACAGAGAAAAGTGATTGATTGCCTGCTACAACTGTGCTCTTACACTCATCTATTTCTGGTCACTACGAATTTCAGTTATGGAGCTGTACATTGTCTGATGTGGCGTTCACCGACTGACCTCAACCCAACGGTGAGCATACTGCTTTCAGTTATTTCTGGAGTGATAGAATACCACTGCTTTTCTAGCATGTGTTCGGACAGTGGTCACGTGTTTGTCTGTGCCTAACTGGGCTCAGGGAAACTACAACTTCAAGAATATACTAGGCATAGTTCGAAGATGAGAATACCAAGGTTAATTTTAATGATAAACTGGATAGACAGTTTTCAGAACAGGGTAATTTCATTAATATAAGTGCAAAACTCAGGCACTGTGGTAGAATGTAATTCAATATTAGATTTGTTTGTTTGATTTATAACAGTGATACAGTATTATTTACTTGATGATGTTTCGAGCATAAATTTATTGTTCATAATTACATCAGGGTTAAAAATCAGATGCCGAAAGTAGTACGATTACATTAATGATATGATTATGAGCAATAATTTATGCTCGAAGCGTTATCAGGTAAATAATACTGTATCACTGTGTGTTATAAATCAGATAAGCAAATCTACTATGGAAGGTAGTTTCACTCATCTGGAAGTAACCTGATGCCATCTCCATTCTCTTGTGAAAATACCATTAAAGAACGTAACTGACTTACAGAAAGGGTCAGTGGATATGAACAGCTTCGTATGGATTAGTGAATGCGCAAGAAGTCATTCTTACGGGCTTCGAGCATAATAAGGAGCGTAAGCAACTGAAATATGGGCTGATGGGAAGTTTACTTGGTGACCACAAGCAGTGGTGGGTGGCAAGGCGAAAGAGATGGGAACAGCCACGGCGATAGGTAACAGTAGATATCTATTTAGATTGATAATGGAAACTTGGGTGAAAATGTCAATGGTTAGTAAGACTATAGTGGAGAAAGATGGATGTACCACTCATTGTTGGGCAAGACGAATAAAATAATGAACTGAACATTTCGAGGAAGTACGATTGGAGTGAGATGAACTTGGATGTGACGCGACCAACAGGATGCAGAAGTTCATAAAGTCTTCAACTGTTAACTGGTCTGAATCGTATAGGGAGGTGTCAGCTGCTTGTTCGAAGTCCTCGTGATGTCAGGGTTTGTTGGTTGAAATCTCTTGGTGATATGAATCGAAGTGGATTAGGATTGAGAACATGTGCGCATTCTTTGACGTCTTCGAAGGTTTAAACATTCGCACTAAACTTCATTTATTGCTTCCCTATCTCGTCCTATGCACTTTTTTTAGCCTTGATACGGTACTTTCTCTATGCAGTTCTTCCTATTACGTTGCTATGGCGTGTGGCAGCTTGAACTGATGCACTCCTGTGCCAGGTCCCACATTGATCTGTGTGTATGTTTGATTTACCGTGGAGATCTCTGCACGTATACTGATTGTGTGCTTGTTTTTGTTCAGCTATACTTGTTATTCCGATGAGCTTCCGGGTTGCATGCCAAATCACTAGTGTTCTGTTTGGTAGTTTGTACCACACTGTTCTACACTTGAAGAGTGTTACTATTGTATGTGGCTGTGACTCATACGTAATCGTCCAATAAACTTATTTTGTCCACATATAAACATAAGTCAAAACCTGAACCAAAAACACTTCTACACTAAAGGCCGGTAGCCTAAAACGTTGATTCCCATCTTTGACCACTTTTTATCAATAACTTTTTTCTACTTTCTAAATAATAATAACTATTATTTCTAGCCTTCTCCCCGTTGTTAGCGTATTTTCATGTGATGTACTACTTTATATATATCATTCATACAGATGCGTAAAATCAGTATTTTTATTAATGAATGTTAGACCCCATGACTCAAATTACCTTCATCCAGGTTACTTGGTGAGGTTGTTAACCGTTATTGACGGAGATGGCTTAAGCGTATATGCTATGCGCAAACTGATGTGTCATGTACCCTAACGCCGTCTGTTGTTTGGGAGTAAACTTAGGTTTTATTAGGACCAGGAGTAGTCGTAAAAAGATGTAATATTAGCCTTTGAAGTTAATGACTATAGCTCTTAACTGTGTGAGGAAATTTAAGCCCTTTTACAGGGGATCGTGAAACAATCATGAATAGGTGATAACTCTGTGTTTCAGATGCCTGTTGTCTTATGTTCACTTAAACAGTAATTTGATGCATCTCCATCCCTTAAACTTATATTTTGACTTTTTTACGACTTATTTTTAGTGACTTGATATGTTCGTTTCCTAGCCTCACATTTCATTAACTCTGTGCACTAACGTAATTTGTGGTAACGTAGTCTGATATACAATATCGAATTTGTCGTTACTGTTACTTTTCCGTCGCTTTATTCCGTGATTTCGAGTAGCACCTTGCATACGAGTAAGATTTGGTTAGAGTTAGTAAAAATGGTTTTCGATTATGTGATTTCAGTAATCGTATTTTTTCAGAGTTCATATCGCTTTATGAAAGACAAAATGTGTGGATCAGATATGTGCATCCAGGCGGCTAATCAAGGTCATTTGCTTTGTGATGCCGGTATTGATGATTGTTATAAAATGGATAATACTTATGGATGTGATAGTGGAGTTCCGCTAATAGATTCTTGTGAAGTTTTGGCAGAGGGTAAGCAATTTTTGGCTTTCTGCTATTTACTACATAGTATAGTATATGCTTGAAAAATAAGTCTGATATGTAACTACTGGCTCAGTTGATGTTTCATTACAGAGTACCGTGATTTGTGCTACTTTGTTAATTTTTACGTGTACTTCTGGTTTGTTTACCATATCAATCAACGAAATTTCCTAGTCACTGTAATATTTTCACTCCTTCAGATCTGAATTCATCATTTTTTATGCTCTGCAGAAGTGTAAATTGCTATACTATGATGGGGGTCTGAGGGCGAAGTCGTACTGCTGCTAGCTGGATGGGGTGTGACAGCAGTAAGGTGTTTCCCTTGGATGACCAGCAGTGCCAAGCTGATGCTGCCTTCTCAGTGGAAGGGGGGGTTAGAAAAGGTCGGCCCCAAAAATAACACACTCCACCACGCCCCACGGTCTGCCGGGCCGGCGGTGTTGGTTCACTTGTCGTTTCCTTTCGCTCATCCGGCCCCAAAAATACAAAAATTCAAAATAATCATACTCAAAAGGCTGGGTGTGACAGGCCTCAAGCAGATGTCCGATGGGCTCTGCGGTCACACAAATCTCTTTCAGGTACCTTAAGAAGAAATAGCCTTCCACGGTGTGGGCAGCCGGGAAGTGTCAACCGCCCTCACAACTCTGTCAGCACCCAAGTTTCTTCTGACTGCTATCCTCCTCCTCCATCATTACCTTCTAATCTTCCTTCACGTCTCTTAATTAATGATGCTGCATCATCTTCAATTTCTCCTACCTCTGCAGCCTTCGACAACGATCTGAGTCCACAGAACAGTGTCCCTGGTCTCCTTAAACCACGCTCCAAATTACATATTGGAGCCTTCAATGTCCGCACCCTCCGTCAAATTGGCCAACAGGCTTCGTTGGCAAAGACTCTAGCAACTCGGGCATGGATGTGTGCTGTGTTTGTGAGACACGCATACAGGACCCAAGTGTGGTTATTCACCTGACCTCTCCTGACCAATCTGGTGAATCTGCAAAATTCACCCTTCGAGTTTCTGGAGATTCGATAGCTAGCTCTCGTGGTCTTGCAGGTGTAGGTATAGCATTAAGCACCAGGGCAGAAAACTCACTACTAGACTGGATCCCAGTTGATAGTCGCCTCTGCGCTATGAGGCTGAACGGCACAGTGAGAACTAAAAGGAATAGTGAGACTCGCCGTTGTCTCTTTGTAATCTCTGCTTACGCACCCACTGACTGTAGTTCGGATGAAGTGAAGGACGAGTTCTACCATAAACTGTCTAACCTCCTCTCGAAAGCCAAACGTTCGGACGTAGTGGTTGTTGCAGGTGACCTCAACGCACAGGTGGGTAGACTGAGTGAGGCAGAAAGGCACTTAGGTGGCACTTTCGGAATCCCAGCTGAACGTACAGATAACGGTGATCGCCTATTACAACTATGCTCAGATAACCGCCTATTTTTAGCCAGCACAAATTTCAGACATAAAGAAAGGCACTGTCTGACCTGGCGTCCACCGAGCTCGACTCAGCGATGGACACAGATAGACCACATTGCTATTAGTCATCGCTGGAGAGGATCGGTGGAAGACTGCCGCTCCTTCTGGAGTACGTGTTTGGACAGCGATCATGCGTTGGTCCGAGCACGTATATGCCTGCGTCTCAATGGACGTAGAAAAAATTTGGCAACAAAACCACTACGAGTTCTGCTGGACAACGAAAACACCAAAGCCGTGTTCAGTGAGAAGTTGGCTAGGCAGTTATCGGAACAAAAGACTGTCACTCATCCAGAAGAAGCTTGGTGCCATCTTCAGTCTACTGTAAAAGCAGCACTGGAGACTGTAGCCGACTCCAAGATAATGGCTAAAAAGAGCCAGTGGATATCAGCAGCTTCTTCCAAACTAATGGATGCACGTGAATGCATCCCTGCAGGCTCTGAGTACAATGAAGAGCGAGCGCAACTTAAAAATAAACTGACGAAAAGTCTGCGCAACGATCGTGAACAGTGGTGGGCAGCAAAGGCTAAAGAGATGGAAAAGGCAGCGGCGATCGGTAACAGTAGACAGTTATTTAGACTTATTAAGGAGACTGGGGGGAAATGGTCAACAACAGTTAGTGAGGTTATAGCGGAGAAGGACGGATCGGCGATTCACTCGCAGGGAAGGCGACTGGGACGATGGGCAGAACACTTTGAGGAACAGTTTAACTGGCCTCCAGCCACCATTGCGCTGCCCGCTATCCAGTCGGACCCTGAATGGGACATAGAGACAGGTCCCCCAACACTAGAAGAAGTTGAGAAAGCGGTAGGTAGCCTGAAACGGGGAAGGGCAGCAGGACCAGACGGACTACCTGCTGAGGTATACAAGAATGGTGGTAGAGTTCTCTTAGTCAGGCTAACGGAAGTGTTAGCCAGTATATGGGAATCAAATACGATCCCCTCCGACTGGTCTAAGTCACTGATCATCCCAGTCTTCAAGAAAGGCGAGAAGTCCTCTTGTGATAACCACAGAGGAATCAGCCTGACAAACATAGTGTCTAAGATCCTAAGTTCTATAATTCTCCGACGCCTGAGTGGAGCTCGGGAACAGCAAGCCCGAGAAAACCAGGCAGGCTTTAGACCTGGCCGTGGATGTATCGACCAAATATTCACACTGCGCCAGGTCCTGGAACATAGGCATGCTTACAGACGCCCGACAATAGCTGTATTTCTCGACCTGAAGGCGGCATTTGACTCCGTTGATCGAGAAGTCTTATGGCAGTGTCTGTCACTGAAAGGCGTGCCTAGTAAGTACATCACCTTATTGAAAGCTCTCTACTCGAACACTTGTGGGCATGTTAGAGCCTATGGTGAGTTGTCCAGGGAGCTATACTCATCAAGTGGTGTCCGTCAAGGATGCCCACTATCCCCATTCTTATTTAATTTTATCATAGATATTCTTATGGAGGTTTCCCTCTCGTCACCTAATTACAAAGACGTTGACCGGATCACAGGTGAATTTTCCTTAGATCTAGAATATGCAGATGACATAGTCCTGTTAGGTGAAGACGCTGACAAGATGCAGAGTCTTCTGAACACTTTGAGTGGGAATTTGAGAATGTTTGGGATGCGATTTTCACCACCCAAATGCAAATTTTTGCTCCAGGACTGGTCTTCAGCGGTACCGCGGTTAACAATAGAGAGTGAAGTGGTTGAGTGTGTTGACCACTTCACTTACCTGGGAAGTAGGATCAACTCCGGTGGGTTAGTTGCCGATGAGATTTCTGCACGGATACAAAAGGCTCGATTGGCTTTTGCCAATTTGCGCCACCTATGGCGCCGCCGTGATATTCGTTTGTCTATTAAGGGTCGCGTGTACTGCACAGCAGTCCGCTCTGTTCTACTGTATGGCTGTGAAACATGGCCATTGAAAGTGGAAGACATGAGAAGGTTACAGGTATTTGACCACCGTTGCCTTCGTAGTATAGGACGTATTCCGTGGTGTCACCATGTGAGTAATGCAGAAGTTAGGTGTAGAGTTTTAGGGAGAAGAGGTAAGTCAGTCGACGAGGTTGTGAACCTTCATCGACTGAGATGGTTGGGACACGTACTACGTATGCCTAGTCACCGATTGCCTCGTCACACAATGTTGGCTGAGGTGGGTTCAGGCTGGAAAAAGGCCCGAGGTGGCCAGACTAAAACATGGCACCAATGTATGAAGTCTCTGACTGTTGGTTTAAGCCATGTAGGACGATGCAGACTAGGTGGTTGGGGTCCACGGGACAAGAGGAACCAGTGGTTGGAGACCCTAGGTGATATGGCTCAGAACCGAAGTCAGTGGCGCAGATGTATACACACATTATCCTCATCTTAACAACGCTATACCGAATCTCACTATTTTGTCACTCCTCTTTCCTTTCTTCTCATACTTTATATTTCTTTTGACTGCATTCACTTATCTTCATCCTTCACCTCACTACCTTTTTACTTGATGTGCTGATATGAGGTGTGGCAACTCGGACCGTTACGCAGTAATGCCTGGTCCTATGTTGATAATGATGATGATGACTGCAGAAGTGTCTCATTTGTTTCAGTTTATCGTTTTGATCTTTGCGCTTATCAAGTTCCCTTATTCAATCGTTATAAAGTGTACATTGCTCTTCATTCATTTTCGTTTATTCAAAGGAGTGCAATAAGGTGACAATATAAGAACTATGCCAGACACTGACACCAAAAGATCCTTTTCCCAAAAGACAGTCACATTGTCCTGTTTATTCACATAGTCTGGTTACTTCGTTTGTTGTCGACAGTGCGTAGTCAAGGATACTTAGCATTGTGGTGATAATATGCCTTACTCGTCTTGGTGTTGGAGTAGCACTGGATGTCACTATCTTATTTTAATTATTGCAAACATCATTGGGTAGTCTATCCACTTACAACACTACTCAAGGTGGATCAAGCGTTCGTTGTTTACCTCACCTCAGTGACCTAACGAACCATTGTATCACATTCTATGGTGTTAACGGTCAGTGAGTTACTGAATGTAGTGTGCATTAGTTTGATTTGAATGATAAACTGAACGCATATCAAGTGAAAAACATATCTCGATTCGTCCTATGATTCATTGTCTGCTTTTCAAAATATATTTACTTGTTGCACTCATACTTAAATCTCTTCATGCCTGAAACCCGATGTTAATACTTTGTTTCGAGCTAAATCATATATTCATTATCCATCATTTGGGACTACTGACGAGTTCAGTCATCTTCTAAACATACGTGCACTTCCACCGTTGTGGGTTGTAATCTTTGCATTTGAAAAATTTATATTCATAGTAATTATTTTCACAGGGTTTTCAACTATTTTAGTTGCTGCTTTGGATGATAAATGTTATCCTGTTCCTGTTTTTGAAGTATTTATTTTTACTGCACTTAACGATTCACTTAAACTGTGGCGATGTTTTGCTTCAGGTTGAAGTCTTTCAACTTACTAATTAAATTATAGCGTTCTCTTGCTAATAATCTCTTCCTATGTCCA